CACCTTTGGCATCATCAAGTCCTCATTTCAAAACAATCACTAACGCAGAAAGCGCCTCCAGTGGCGGGATCTGGACGGGAAGTTTTGCTGCAAACCTGTTTTAATTCACTTGACACAAATGCCAATCCAAGCAGGTGGCTTCTCCAAAGCTAGAAATGTGAAGTTTTCATGCGCTATAAAGTGTCGAAATGTTGTGCAGCCGTCTGCTCATCGAAGAATAAACGATGCCTTGCTTTCCAGCATTGAAGTTCAGCGCCTCCTCTATTTCAACCGTCGCGGTTGATTGATCCCGTTTAAGAACTTGATTTCTAAAAACAACTGGGGACTTCAAATGCAGCATATAAATTTAATACTGCAAAAAATAGGTCATTTAGACCAAAGCGGTAGTGTAAGGATAAGAGATTTGTAAAGTGACAGGTGGTGTTGCCTTCCCGCTGTGTACATTTTTTGTGCAAAATCTCTTGAAATGGATGCTTTTGCTTTCTATTTTCAGTGTGTTTATCGTTTCTCAGCCTTGTTTACGGAAGCAATCATCACCACGCCCTTATTAATCATCAATGTGGGACAGGTGGTTTGCCACAAGTTTTCCTCCTCTACATACTGATACAAGTAGAATTTAGGCATCGAAGTTGGTTTTCATTTGTGTTACCTCGTGGCTGATTGGATACATTAATTAATTCTTGGCCGAAGGTAGTGCCTGCATCTGCGTGCTGGTTCATGATAAACGGTTTGTTCCGTGCCATTTTATCCTATCTTTCATGAAATCTTCAATTTTTTAACTCCCACAACTCCCCGAATGGTCTGAGATACAATCTATACCACACCTAAAATGCATCTAATATGGTGCAAGAGTGACATTAACTGAAAGCATTTACGTCTTCAAACGATTACCGTTTTGGTCGTTTGACTTAGAACGCCTTCTCAAGTGGTAAACACTCCAAAAGTTGACACGTCAAGGTTGTGGTCGGCAGGAGCCGTCGAAGCGACTGCGATTGCAACTCCACAATCATCTGATGGTTGTAACATTTCTCCCTCCTCCCTCCTCCCCCTCTCCTCATACCACATCCTCATTCCCCCATTCCGATAACATCAAACAGCCGCGTCGTCGTTGATGGAGGGAAACGACGCGATCAGACTCCACACTACCGGAACAGTTGCTCACTGCTCCTCCGAGACGGGGTTTCAAACAAAGCACAGTTCTTTGTTGTGTGTCCACTCTCGACCACGCGGTGACGCCATTTGACGCCTCTTCGTGTAGTTCGCCGTAGACTGGTGATATTTGCTACCTTGGCGCGTGGTAGTGCCACTGCCTCGTCACATACCAACTATCGTGCCCATCTCAATTCCACGAGTGCCTCGCAAGTGAGCACAACTGTTAAACGGAGATGAGCACCATGCCAGAAAGAAGAGATTTCACGATTAAACGGAAGTCCACTTCTCACTGTCCGTACCGAAAGAGGATGTGGAGACCAGGAGGTCTCGCACCTTTATGAGCAGATTAAGATGGGCTGTGCGCTTTGTAGTGCCCTTTGAGGCGGGGGTTGATTACGGTGGTCATTAACTTGTCAGCTGTTTGAATGAACCTGCGTGTTGAGACAGCAGAGCAAGGCGCTCTCATGACAACGAGATGTGCGACCTTCAATGCCTAGCCAGTGACTTCAATGCATCAGCCACCAGTATCACTTCATGTTGATCCTCCAACTCAGCCTGTATGGTGGCATCATGCCGACATTACCTTGTGTCCTACTCACATGGGCATCAGCAGCGAAGGAACCCAAAGGAAGTATGAGAGAGGGCAATTTTTAAATCCCCGTTGTTTAGCAATATTAGTATTAGAACAAAAAATAATATATTGTCCTTACAGACGCAAAATAAGTGATTGTCTTCTGTTTCGATATTAATGGGCAAGGTTATACTGGGATAATAACACAACTGCTTCTCTCATTTATTTCTGCGTGCCTTTCCGAAGGCTTTCAAGGAAAATATGAAAACATGAAGGAGTACCACAGCATAGAAATGTAACGAAATGAGAATCGCAAAAGTCATCCAACCTGCATCCATACATCTTAATTGACTGCAATCCACTTGTCCAGTCCATACACATCCACCCACCCATCCTTCTTCCACTGCTTCCATCCTTTCATCGGCGCTTTTCCAATTGTCTTTGCAGTGTTATATTTATGACGGCTTGAGTCACCCTGTGGTCGTTGATAAAGTTAAGCTATTTAAAATAGGATTCAGCGCGATATAAATGCGGATGGACGAATTCATTGTTTTGGTATACCAGCGTCTCAAGCCACTTCTATGGATAATGATGGTGGTGATGATGATGATGATGATGATGTCTCCGCCATGGTGGCATTGGTGAAACATCAACAACAACAACAACAATGTCCACTAACAGGCTCGAAGCACGCCAGCACCAACACCACCAGTGGTAGCAGCAGCAACCCATGTGAAGTGTCAGTGTTCCACACTACTGCACCCAAAGAGATGGGAATGTGGCTGACGCCTCCACTCAACTGACGACTGCCAGTGCACCTGCACTCAACGTGAGTGAGATTGCACCAAAAGTGGTGCAACGTGCACAAGGTGCACAGCATGCTGCCAGTCCACAGATCCCTCCACCACCACCACCATCACCACCTACAATTAGTGAGAGCGTCAGACATGAGGTGAAGAAGCCAAGTAAGTGGAGGTGGGAGACGAAGATGCGTGGCAAATGAAGGAAGGAGGTGAGGTGCGGTTAGGTGTTGATGATGCGATGATCGCTGGTTGGTTGAACTTCCTGTTGATCAATTTCACTTAGTTCGACGAAACGGTCCATCAACGGATAGGCAGTGAGTCGGACAATGCTCCCTTTCCATTCA